GACAGCAGCGAAAATTACGGTTGGCAATGATGCATATCTAGTACTGGTGCCCCTCCCTCCCCGAACCTTTACGGTCTAGTGCGCCAACGTCGATGCATGTCGGACCCGTAGGAGAAGCGCAAGAATCGAGGCACAATGGCGTGAAGAATTAAGTACGTGTGCAAGCTAAGCATAACTCTGATGGCTAGGTTCCATATGGTGTGAGCTGCCCATTCGGGTTCCAGTTTATAGGCTTGCCGAGGGTGATCGCATTTTCTGGATTTATCTTGGGTGTTACTCTTTCAAGGTAGTGAGCTCGTCAACTACGAGACGTCTGTGGTGAGCTTGATAATTTTATGATCTGCGGCTTCATCTCTCGTATGTGCTTATAGGGTTACAGTTTGTGTGCATTCATTGGGATGAGCGTGGATGCGCGTATATTAGCGTCTGCATCCATATGGTGTTTATTAAAAAATATGTGTGTTGAGGTAGAAAATATTTCTGTTCGTGCGAATCAAATCAAAGTTCAACAACAGTAATCTAGCACTTGGCACTTTTGATCGATCGGCACGGCACGTACACTTATTTTTATTGTTTTTTTTTTGAGAATACGCAAATTGCGTATCTTAGCTTTATAGACGAAAGAGGGTTATATAAAAGAATTAGACACGACGGAGTGCACTACCACAAACGGCATGCACGTCCACCCCTTCACTCCACACGCTAGGCTACTACTCTATATCATGTAGAACTCCTCTCCCTCTCGCCGAGGCCCATAGCCCAAGCTCCTGGTGGACAAGGTCGGCTGCTCCCCATTCATTGGTGATGTTGCTGTTGCGAAAGACTCTGCCATTTCACTGCTTCCATAGATTCCAGCATACAGAAATGCAGAGTGTGTCGAATCCTCTCCGGTGTCTCTTGTCAATTCGCTTCCTGGCCGACACCCACCAATCACCTAGTGTGTCTTTCGTGGTTGGGATCAAAGCTTCGTCAATGCCCAGCCTTCTGAACCACAAAAACCACACTTGTCTCGCAAATACACAATGCATGAGTATGTGATCCACATTGTCCTCCTCTTGGTCACAAAGGTAACATGCCAAGCTATGATCTTGTAGCCCATGCCTCTGTCTGCGGTCCGAAGTCCACACTCTGTGCTGAAGTGCAAGCCAAATGAAGAGCTTGCAGGTCATCGTAGCCCAACTGCGCCAGACAGACGAAGCACATTGAAATTGTACTCCTCCCTCACACATCATTTTGTACGCCGATTTTGCCGAGTACTTGCCCGTGGCATCCCATTGCCAGATCGGTGTGTCCTCTGAGCCAGGAGTGAGCTCAATGTCTACCAGCACCTCCCACAGCCTAATGAACTGTGAGAGCTCGTCGGTATTCATTTCTCCCACGATATCATGCGTCCACCCATGCAAGTACAGAGTGTCTTTCACTCTCCTCTTATTAACTACCTGTTGCCGCACTTTGTCAACAAGTAGCGGAGCAATTTCCTTCACACAGGAGCAACTGATCCAACGATCTCTCCACAACAAAGCCTTCGATCCTTCCCCGACTTCCCACTTGACCAAGCTGTCGAAGGCCATCCTGACATGCTTGTCGGAGCAGTAACCGAGGCCCTGCCAAGGACGCGAGCTGTCTGTCCGTTTCAACCATTCCCACCTGAGTCTAAGGGCTATACCATGCTTATATAGATCCATCACCCCGAGACCTCCCATCTGCTTAGGCCGGCAAACCCGGCGCCACGCAACTGCACACTGTCCTCCCTGGATGTCCTCTGAGCCTGCCCAAAAGAAGGCACGACATCCCTTATCCACTCTCTCCAAAGCCCACTTCGGAGCCTCTGCCACGATCAAGTGGTGTATGGGTCTGGCCCTCACCACCGGGTTCACCAGAAGGAGGCGACCGAGACATGTGACAAGGCTACGCTGCCATCCTGACATCAACTTCAGCGCCTGATCCACAATAGGCTGCCACTCTGATCTCGTGAGTTGCTTGATCCCCAATTGCAGCCCTAGATATTTAATGGGTAATGTCTCCATCTTCCATGGGATGGCCTGCTGCACTAGCTCCTCCTCCTCCTCATTCGATCTGATCATGATGGCAGTAGACTTGGAGAAGTTAACCTTGAGGCCAGATGCCTCTCCGAATAATCTCAGCGCCTCCTGAGTAAACCATAGATCCGTCCAACTCGGCTTGATGAACATAACAACATCGTCTGCATACAGGGATAGTCTTTGTATCGGAGCACAGCCAGGTAGCTTGCTAACTGCATTCGTCTCCTGCGCCTTCAAGATCATAGCCGAGAGGACATCCATCGCAATGAAAAAGAGGAGGGGTGAGATGGAGTCCCCTTTCCTAAGACCACATGCATGCATAAACTTCTTGCCAGCACACCAATTAACAACGACCCTCGAGCTGGCCGTGGTGAGCAGGGTTGCGATCCAAGACCTCCAGGTTCTTAAGAAGCCCTTGGCTCTCAGCACTTCGAACAAGAATGGCCATGACAGGGAGTCGAAGGCACGGGAAATTGTCCAGCTTGAGCATCACACTCTTTGTTTTCCTTTTGTAAAGCTTCCTGGCAAGTTGCCTGAGAAGTAAGAAGTTGTCATGGATATTCCTTCCCTTAATAAACGCTGATTGATTTGCATGCACCAGCTCACCCATGCGCGGGCAAAGACGCGCAGCCAAAACCTTTGAAGCTAGCTTTGGGATGCTATGAACCAGACAAATAGGCCAAAAATCTTTGATCTGACATGCCTCCGGGTTCTTAGGTATCAAGGTGATTAGCGCCTGATTAAGCCTCCCAAACCCTCTCCCATTATTAAGGATCAGTTTGTTCAATGCTGCCATCACATCCTTCTTCACAATAGACCAAGCTTTCTGGAAAAAACTCCAATGAATCCATCCGGCCCAGGCGCGCGATCCGAGGGCATGTCCCTCACCACTTTCCAAACCTCATCCTCCTAGAAAACTAGATCTTGGTCCTCCAAGTCTATCGGCTCAATGCCCAGGAAGTCCAGATCTAATGTGTGCTCCCGCATGCCGCATCTCCCCAGCAGCTCACTGTAGGCCTCAAAGAACGCCTCTTCCTTTGCTTCTTGATCTGTGATGGTGATTCCATCGACTGAGATCACAGGGATAAAGTTCTTTAGTTTCCTCCCATTGGCCACCAAGTGGAAAAGCTTGGCGTTGGCGTCTCCCTCCTGCAGCCATCTCATTCTTGACCGCTGTCTCGCAATCGTCCGCTCCAATGATGACAGCCCCAAGACCAGGTATTTCAGAGTTCCACGCAGCTATCTCTCCTCTCTGGTGAGAACCCGCGACTCCTGCGCACAGTCCAGCCATAGGATCACAAGGTTTGCCATGGCGATCTGCAGCTTGATGTTTCCAACCCTCCTCTGCCCCCAGGCCGTCAGGTGTTTAGCGCAGCTTCTCAACAGAACATCCAGCCTTACGAACGGGTCCGAGATGGACTCGTCACATCTCCATCCCTCCTGCACCGCCTCAAGAAACCCCTCCAACTTAGTCCAGAAGATCTCAAAGCGAAATCTTTTACGTGGGTGCACATGCTCCTCCAACGAAAGAAATAGCGGGCAATGGTCTGAGGCATTCGTAGATAACGCCTGCAGCAAGCCTTCCGGGTACGCAAGCTCCCAATCCACAGAGACCAACGCACGATCAATTTTGGTCAACGTGGGTCTCTCCCTCTCATTGCTCCACGTGAACCTTCTACCATGCAGACATAACTCCTTGAGCGCATTGTCATCCACGAATTTCTTGAACTTCCCCATCATCCTTCTATCCAACAGAGAGTTATTCTTGTCGGCAGCATGAAGGAATCATATTAAAGTCGCCAACTGCCATCCACGGCCCTGGGCAAAGCTTCCTCCGAGCCGAGAGCTCCTCCAGCATTGCAACCTTTTGAGAGTCCTCCGGAGGCCCGTAAACCACCGACAGCCACCAGGGTACGCCCTCCTTTGGTGTCACGTAACCCGTGGTGAAGTTGGTATCATTCACCGTGTTAGTGATCGACACCTTCGAGGCATCCCAAGCGACAAAAATACCTCCCCTAGTAGACGAGGTCGGCAAGTAAACAAACCCATCGTAATTAGGCCGAAAGCATTGCAAAATTACATACTGATCCACCCTCTCCAGTTTAGTTTCTAAGATACACCATATCGCTACTTTCATGGAGTCCGCTAGTTCACGAAGGGCGTCACGCTTCGCCGGGCTGTTGAGTCCCCTCACATTCCAACAAACCAACTCCACGGCTGTGTACGACATAAAGAAGCAGAAAGCTCCAATGTCCATACAAGCCACACACCTCCTACACGACGAGCGTGCTCTCCATCTCGTTGCCAAAGCTTACTAGCAACGCCTTCCCGAAGATGGCCGCAATGGCTTTGAGCTGCGGCTCGCGAAGAGGCCTTGGAGTTGAACTAGTACGTAGATAGGCCTTGGGACTACTGTGTGGAACATGGAAACACGCTAAAACGTACGCGTACGTGCCATGCTAGCTAGCTATGGTAGCTAGTTACCGGCGCCGGCGACGTCCACTTCGTGCATGCACTTTGGGCCGAGCCAACCTTCGTGCAAATCCAGGCAAACGTAGCTGGCACGCGCTGGCGCACTGCGCCACCGTGTCGCGGCAGAGGCAGGCCCTCGGGAGCACTCTCAGGCAATGGAGGTCGTCGCAGCATGCCCACGGCCTCTCGTCCTCCTTCATGGGCGCCCCAAGTACTGTTGCGTCACCAGCAAGACCTGTACCACATCGTAGTCAAGAGATCAATGGAGGGTATGTACGTAAGAACTGTCTAAGTTATAACCTCATACTCAGTGGTACATATGTACATCGATCTGATCTGATAGCGGCATGCCCGAGGGCCCCACCTTTTCCATCGCTCGGGAGGCGAATGGCGGACACCTCGCCGGAGGTATCGGCGGGGCGGCCGGCGACGGCGAGGGCCGCCCCGAGCGAAAGCACCAGCAGGATGTTGGCGACGCTACTCTCCATGGCTGCACCGCGCGCTACAGGTCAAATATTTGCTAGCTTTGGCTTGTGCAGTGCCCTGTTTGTCTTGTGAAGCTTGTGGCAAGGCGGTCTGCTTATAGCACCGTCTGGCGGACAGATCTTGATGGACACGGAGGCGAAGACGTGGCGCATCCCGCTCACCGCTGCATGATTGATGTCGAGAGAAGTCTACTAAAGCATCTCCAGCAGCGCCCTCAACTGGCCTTTTCCCAGGCGAATTTTTAGCGCCGGTGGCCGAAAATCGGTCCAGTCGCGTCCCCAGGACCTCATTTAGCGCCGATTTTGGCTAAATCCAGAGCCGGCGATCCCGACCCGAACCCAAGCACCCGGGTGTCACCTGGGGGCACCGGCAGAAACGAAAAGGGGCGTGGGGCCGCTCTGTCGGCGAGAGTAGGCCATTTTCCCGCCGTTTCCTCCTGCTTTCCCCCTCGGCTTTCCTCCCGTTCTCCATTCCTTCGGCCAAACTCCGCCTCCTCCCTTCCAAGCCGACCGCCATGCTGCCGAAGAAGGACGTGTGCCCCCGCGTCGCGACGGATACCACAGCCGCCACCGTCGCCCAGCCGAAGCAGAGGAAGCAGAGGGCGCTGCCGTCCAAGCCCCCGGGCATGACCTACGCCGACTGAAAGGCGGAAGTGCAGTGCCAGGAGGTCGTCACCGCCGATAGGCGTAACAGGGCCAAGAAGGCCCGGGAGGGGGCGACGCTCGCGGCAGCGGCGGCGGCGGAGCAGGCGGAGCGCTCGGCGGCCGAACAAGCCGAGGTGGCTCGCGCGGGGATGATGAATCCACCCAGTGGCCATGGCCCGCACGCGGCCTGAAGCCAGCAAAGCGTCGGATCTTCGACCGGCTTCTCATCGCCGCCACACCCATGGAGCACGCCGTCGCCGGGCTATGCCGACGGCAACGTCCACGGCGGTTTCAACCCCAACATCACCTTCCCCCATGGGCGCCCGGTCTAGCGCACGCCCTCGCCCGCGTTCGCCGGCGTGCAGTATCCTCCATACACGTACTTGCCGTCGGACTACGTAGCCTCCCCGACGCCACCTCTCTGTCGCGGTCTCTACTCGCAAGCCTCCTCCTCGTCGCATCTTGGCGACGCCGACGCGACGGAGGCCGACATGGAAGCCATCATCGCAGCCGGCTCGACTGCCGCCGCCGCTTCCCCCGGGTTAACTACCCAAGACGGCTCGATTGATCTCAGTGACATGGACGGCGAGCTCGACTACGGCGAGGAAGAGCCGGAGGAGGAGGAGGAGGAAGAGGAGGAGCCGGCGCCGACGAGGAAAGGCAAGAAGAAAAAGAAGAAGAAGAAAGGGGCGGCCAAGACCGGCGAGCCGCGCATCAAGTGGACGACCAAGGAAGATGAGTGCCTCGCCGAAGCATGGAAAGTTGTCAGCCTCGACCCGATCACCGGCACGAACCAGAACATCGACACGTATTGGTACCGCATCATGGACGAGTTAGACGAGCGCAAGCTCGTCGACCCCTACTTCAAAGGCGTCCACATGTAGCGGGGGTCGAAGGCCATGGCGAACCATTGGGGGCTCATCCAAACGGCGTGCAACAAATGGCATGGGATCGTTGAGGAGGTCGTGGCTCACCCGGAGAGCGGCACCAGCGTCGAGGATCAGGTATAGCACGCCACCCTCTCTCTATTCCTCTCACCGTGCGCGTGCCCATTTGCGCACCCGCGCCCACTGATGCTCGCTCTTCGGCGCCGCTGCTGCGCATGTTCGCCATGTACCGCGACGACAACAGCGACCAAGAGTTCAACTACCTCCACGACTTCAAACGGATCAACAAGTGTGAGGAGTGGGCTGATATCCGGTGCACCCTCGCCAAGGCCAAGGAGACGTACAAGCCGGACGCGCCGACACCGGGAGCGGCCGACGGACGCCCGGACGGCAACAAAGGGGCCAAGAAGGCGAAACACGTCGAGTCGGCTGCCGCACACGTGCAAGAGTCCATCGAGCATTGCCTCGCCAACGCCAAGACCAGGGCCGCCTAGCGAGAAGAGAAAGCTGAGGCGCAGTGGGATGCTTTGATGACGAACAGCGCCGTCAAACTCGACTTGTTTCGGACCAACGTGGCCGCGAAGCTCAAAGCTCAAGACGCCAAGAAGAGGAACAACAACCTGGCTTTCTTGATGGGCGGCGCTGACATGCTCCATAGTGGCGACGAGAAGCTCAAGGCATGGTTCCTGGCGGAGCGCGGTCTCATCCTGAACCAGATACCGGCGACTCCAACGCCGACGCGCAGCCCGACTGATGATGCATCCGCGACGCCCAGCAGCACAGAAGCCACGCCGACTAGTCTAGAAACCGCGCCGACTCCTCCCAGTCCACACACACCGAGAACGACGCTGGAGGGCGACCTCGACGTTTGATGCATTCCTTTCACGTCCTTCCTTTTTTTGTATGCCGAACTATTGCCTATCCTTCATTTGATTGCCGAATGGTAACACTGATTGCCGAACTATTGCGATGATCGTCGGATTATGGCCTTTTTTTGAAGCGGAAACGATCAAGTTTGAATATGAAATGCGTGGCTGGGCCCTTGGGGGGCGGCACCTAGGGGCGTGGCTGGGGCCTTTATCATTCCAAGGGTCTAAAAATCACCGGATGGACGCCCGAAAAGGCGCCGGCCTATGCGCTGGGGTCCGAACGAGTGGAGATGCTCTTACCCTCAGTGGCCTGCACGTACGCATAGAAAATTGATGGTAACGTGCATGCTTGCCTTAACCGATGAACATGGACTAGTAGATAGTAGACTTCTACTGAGTTTCAACTCGATGCACGATATTCCCTCCGTTCCAAAATAAATGATCCAAAATAGATGACCAACATCGCATCAGTAGTACAAAGTTGGGTCATCTATTTTGAAACCGAGGGAATAGATCTTAGGCATTAGTTAATCTAGTACATCAGTCAGAGACTCAGACTCAGTCGGCGGAAAAACCAGATCTTGTCGCGTAATCTTCCAAGCGTGATTCCATTTCGATACACAGTACAGTCAGCTAGATTGCACTACTGCAATTTTCGAGTGTCGCGAACACTTGATGAAAGTGGTGTCCCACTCGGCAAATTGCATTTTTCGTGTTTTTCAAGTGTCAGGAACATTTGGTGAAAGGAGTTCCCATTCTGCAGCGTGTTTACCGAGTATAGATCTTGGCTAAGGGTACTCGGCAGAAAGCCTTCATGCAAAGCCCATTTTGTCGAGCGCCGTCGATCAGGGACTCGGCAAACCAGTTGTCGAACTTGATGAAAGTGGTTTCCCACTCGGCAAATTGCATTTTTCGTGTTTTTCAAGTGTCAGGAACATTTGGTGAAAGGGGTTCCCATTCTGCAGCGTGTTTACCGAGTATAGATCTTGGCTAAGGGTACTCGGCAGAAAGCCTTCATGCAAAGCCCATTTTGTCGAGCGCCGTCGATCAGGGACTCGGCAAACCAGTTGTCGAACTTGATGAAAGTGGTTTCC